AGAATTTGGTTCAGGGTTTAGGGTTGAGGGTTTAGCATTCGCTTCATCTTCTCGGATTCTCCAAGAATGTTGTAACTATGCTGTAATTACAATATATAACTGCTTATGTATTATAATTACACTATAACTATGCAGGCTAGGTTGTTTAATCCATTAAGACAAACTCAGGTTTATTCATAAGAGTTCCAACAATTTTATTAAAGTCCCTAATGAATCTATCTGGTTCATGACCGAAATCCTTTATCTTTCTACGAATGTCAATATTTCTAATTATCATCTAATCCTCATATATCCATCTGAGACATGTATATCTTCTTTTTGACAATTTCTTGAACAGACTTTTTTAAACCCTGTCATAAATGGGAAAATTATGTTTAATTTTGAAAACAATTCTATCTACATCATATTCATGTAGTATATTAAGTCTGATAATTTTCTTTATCCATTCTTCGTGGCTTTGGCGTGTTTGACAATCACGGCAAAAATAAGAAAGCCGTAGATATTATTAATAACATTTTCTGGTAGTGGCAATTCGTATAGAGTGGAATAACGCTCGTGTTTTTTTTTTACAATCCTTGCATTTACAATTCTGTCGCTCTTCCTTGAGTTCCCTGAAGTAGTCGTGAACCTTGACAACATCCAAGAAGTTACTTCTTTTTGATTGAACATTTCCCTGTTAATATATATATATAGGCGTCATTTCTTTAGGTCATTTTTCCTTAGCAAGATTATTTTCTTAAGATTTACTGGATCATTATTGTTTGACAGACTTATCTAAGCATTCAGAGCAAGTCGCAATGTATTTAACATAACAATAAGAATGCTTACCAGTGTAATAGCAACGCTTGAAACAATCAATGTCTTTTACTTGCTTACAACGATAACACTTCCTAGTAACAACATTACCTGTTTCAGTATACGGTTCAAAATCAACTAATATCTTATTTACTCTTACTGGCATTATTATTATTATACACATTTTTTCATAATGAGGATTATGAAAATTTGCACCGGGAGAGACTTATCGTTTCTTGCGATTGCGCTACACGCAACCGGTTCCTTGAGATTCAACGAAACTAATTACGAATTAATGTCATTTCCAAACTCTTGTGGTTTGCCTATGAACCTGTAGAACCTGCTAGGCGCGCGGGGGCATTGGCTCACTTCCTCCTTCTGTTTTCATTGGGGGCTTTTTTTTTATGTCAAGATGACCTGTCAATATATATGATATTTTTAATCCATTATATTTAAATTATTCTTCAAAATATTTACATCTTTGTCTATCCTTTCAACATCCTCCTCCACTTTTTCTAATCTCTCTTCTGGTGTAGGCTTTGGTGATCCCCACCCAGTGGTCGCTGTATCAACACCTTCATTATCTTGTGAGTTTGTTTTAAATATGTCGTTTTCATCGGGTGTGATTCCTCTACCCATCTTCCAACTGCTTCTATCTTCAATGATTGTTTTACCTTCGTTGTTTATCTTCGTTTCTTTGTGAAAAGTCTTTTTTCTACATTTACAAGGTAAGGAGTTTTAATCCATCTGTGTTTCAGTGGAAGCCACCCTCGTTAGATTCCCTATGATGTCGCTCATTATACTTTCTTAGATTTTTTAGATACTCAAGAACTGCCTTAACCAATTCTAAAGAAGCAACACCTTTTAAGCTTGCTGTCTTGTATTACAATCTTCTCAATTTCTTCAATCTCCTCAATCGTTTCTATATACTTGTTCATTATATTAAAGGATATTTTTCTCCTATTAAGTAATGAGTGAGAATATACCTTCAATTGAACCTATAGAACCAAAAACATATGAATATAAACAATCTAAGTTTGATGTCGCGGATAAGTTGCCATTTAGATCAATCATTTGTGCTAGTAGTCAAGGTGGCAAAGGTATCTTACTACAGAACCTGATCTTGAAAATTTGCAAGAACTGATTTGAACGCATCTATATTTTCTCCCCGACTGCTTCAGTTGACGATAACTGGATTCCAGTAAAACGTTACATAACCGATCATCTCAAAGTTGACAATGATAAAGAAAGGTATCTATTTGATGATTATGATTCAACAGCGTTACAGAACATCATTGACACCCAACATAAGGTAGTGGAATACCAGAAGAAGAACAAGATTAAAAACCTATTTTTGGTGCTTATCGTAATTGACGATTTTGCAGAAGACCAGCGGTTCATGAAATATTCTAAGATATTGCACGGCTTATATACAAAATCCCGTCACAATGCGATATCAGTTCTAACATCAGTTCAAAAATACAATGCCGTGGCTCCTATAATTCGTTTAAACTCTAGTTCATTATACATTTTCAAGTTAAGAAACATGCGCGAAGTAGATGCTTTTATCGAGGAGAATTCCGCACTGGAGGACAAACACCGTTTGTATGATATGTATCAGCAAGCGGTGAATTTTGAACCTTATTCATTCTTCTTTATTAAGCTAAGATCACAAGACATTAATGAAATGTTTTATATAAACCTAGACCACGTATTTAAAGTTGATGAAGATGAAACTGTTCAAAGAAAAGGCATATTAGGATATATAGGGATATGAACAAATATCATAACGGGAAAATTTACAAAATTGTGGATGTTGGATACAATAAATGTTATATAGGAAGCACGACTGAAACTTTAAGTCGGAGGATGGCGCATCACAAGTGTTCTTTTAAACATTACAAGCAAGGTTTGAGAACAAAGGTGTCTTCCTTTGAGTTGCCATTAGGACATTCAAAGATTTGTTATATCGCCGTGTTGAAGCCGATCAGAAAAAGGGTAAAAACAATATTCAGTGGACGGATTGTATTTTTGAAATATTATTAACATACAATAATAAAATGAAGCATTCCGCAACTGGCTTCACCCCAAAGGATGCCAGAAAACCGAGTAACGAATTAAAAGTTAAACTGCATTTAGATATGAACGCTAAACGAAATCGGGTATATCCTGATCTAGGTGTCGGGGATGAAGTTAAAATATTTAGGAAGAGGAAACCCAATGAAAAAGATAGAGTGGGCAATTTCAGCCAAAATGTTTATACCATAGAAAGAATTGATGGAAAGCTGGGCCAAAAATATTATTGTGTTGAAGGTAACGATAGAGCGTATTTGCGGTTTGAGTTGTTAAAGCTGTAGCGTGTTGACTTTATTTTTGAAGCTGTGGGAATTTTTACAACTTGAATTGCAAGTCGTGGCGCATCTTGCAACTTCAGTCTGCCGATGCTAGACAACTTATGGTTCGATGAAGTATTCGGTGGTTTGGATGGCAGGTGTTTCTGTGGGTTGCAGTGTATGTATGCGTTGACGGCTTAAGCCTTATGCGAAACTGTTCTCAGACATGTTGACACAGAAGAGGCGCTTTCGGCCATGAACCGGCTCAAGGCTTCATGGCATGCTCATGACACGTGCAGCATGTGCAGGACACCACATGCAGAGTTACACCGGGTCGCAACACGAAAATCGCATCTTATCCCTCATGAATGCAGCGCCTTGCACGTAACTCGCCCAGCGCTTGTGCCCATGGGAGACCCTGCTTCGAAAAAAACAGAGGTTCACATATGGCTGGTTTGAAGAGGCACTTGCAGACTTTGGCGGCGACATCCAGCAGAACGTGGCCAACAAATTCTCTGGCTACGATGAAACGGATTTGGTAGCAGCCTCAAGCTCACTCCAGGACTTGATGACCTTGCTGCCGAGTGATGCAGTTGATACGCAAGATAAAAAAGAGAAAGTCGCAATGCGCTTGAAAAGAAAGGTGCAGGAAGAACTCGCGCAGCCATTACCCGCTCTCTGTTCCGACATAGCATGTTTTTGCTGATTCTTCGAGTTTGCACTCTTTCCGTTTTATTGGCAGGCTTCCCCGATAGGCTTAGTTGATTACCTTACTTATTAGGTTGAAAGGTTGGCTCTTTGGTTGTAGCGTAGTGGTTTATTCCCCCGTAGGCTTGGTTTCCTCGTAGGGTTTCCCGATAGGGTTTGTTGAGTGGGTTGCTTAGTTGGGTTTAGGGAGTTGGTGTCTTTTTGATTTTTGCAAGGTTGAGCCTCCCCAAGATGCACTTTGCAAATGGCTGGAAGAGGCAGTGAGCAAGAAGCCCAGCAACTGGGGAAGCGATGGGAAGAGCGAAGATGCGACCATGCATAGTGTTCAGCAGTTTGAGAACGTTGCCCTCGGCGCCAACGACATGAAGAAAAAGTTGGTTGTTCGCAAATGTTTCCTTGAAACGCGGAAGTTGGCGATAGACTGGATGGAAGCAGAACTGAAAGGTGGCATGCCCACTGGCGTTTTTGTGATCACGGGCACACCCGGTATTGGGAAATCTGTTTTCCTGGCTTATTTTGCGGCATATCTGTGTGAGAAGGGCTACAACGTCGTGATTCAGCGTGGGCAGAAGTGGTGGTCACATGCTTCTGGCAAAGCCACTACACATGAGAAAAACCTGAGGCCCTGCTCAAGCAACAAACGACTGTGCTGTTGTTCGACCCGTATGATTCTGATGCGGCCAAGTTGCAGACTCGCGATCAGGGCGTGTCTTTCGTTTTCACGTCTCCCGGAGAGAAGTGCTACAAGACTGCATTTAAACAGCAGTCCAATCACAGCACACGGCGCTTCATGCCTATATGGACCCTTGCAGAGTTGATCGAATACCGGCTTGTTTTGCTTCCTTCTTTCAAAGAGGCCACCGATGTCGAGAAGGCACATGCCTTGCTTGGCGGGAGTGCGCGGTGGCTGCGCGATTTGGATGCGCAGCAGAAGATGGGGCTGTCCTTGGAAGATGCCGCCAGAAAATTAATTCGACAGTGCCTCGAAAGGATCACAACATGGGATGATTTGGACAAGTTGGTCGGTGAGGCGTTTGGAGCCGAGTGCCGCAGCTGACATCACGGACAGCAAAGCGAGCCTCCTGCTACAAATTGATGCACATGGGCATTTCGAGATTCCGTCCGAGCAGCTTCTTGCCTCAGATGTTGCAAAACAGGAAGTCTGCGATGTGCTCAACATCAAGACACAAGAGGACCGGGTCAAGTTCGTGAAAAAAGTTTCTTGAAAGTAAGCCGCTGGGGCAGTTGGTTGGAAATATCTTTCAGGTCGCGGTTCTCAACACGCTGACCGGTAAGGGACAGCAGCGATACAAACTAGCTGGCAGACCTTTGGCTGGCGGAGCCGACTTGACAGAGCATGTTCCCAATGGCCAAATGCAGGTGCCACTTGCATCTGCTTCAAGGACCCGGAAGATCCGAAACATGAATGCTGACCAGCTGTATTGTCCTCACTCGGACAACTTCGCCGCAACCGACTTCTTCTTCGCGACAAGCAATGACAACAAGGGCTTCACGCTGTGGTTATATAGGGGATTCTATAGGGTTTAGGGTTTAGGATTTAGGGTCTAAACTCCTTAAAGGGGGTTATACCCTCACAATGGAGAATCAAATGGAAAAGAAAATGGAAAATGAAATGGAAACAGGGACTATAGGGTAGTTTTTATGGGTTAGGGTTTAATGTGAGCCATAGTCTAAACTCTTTAATGGGGGGTTATATAGGGGATTATATAGGGGAAATATTGGGATAGTGGAAAAGAAAATGGAAGCTACTATTTTGGGTTTAGGGTTTAGGGTCTAAAGGGGGGTTATATAGGGGATCATATAGGGGGGGACTACTATAGGGGTTATTAAGGGGGATACTAGGAGTTTAGACAGTAGCTCATATGAGGGAATCCTAACAAGGATGCTGCAAACATGGGTTCTCGGGCGAAGTACCACGCTCACCTTCTCTGGGGAAAGCCGGCTAATATACAGATTGTTGTAATACATATATACATATATGTATATACATATATATATATATGTATGATGGCCTGAACTTGTGGGGTCAGGGCTTGGGGACACATGCGGGGCTTCGGGGTTTCCAAAACTCCGGTGTGGGGATTGAGGAACATTGAGGGTTTTAAGTTTCTGGGATGATGCTGGGGGGTGGCAAGCAGATCCTTTTGAGACACCATGGGATGTTCTGGATTTGTACAGGGACTCTGGACCTTCAGTCCTTGCCGGCCTGAGCATATCCAGCGGCATGCGCATTTTCAAGTAGATTTAAGCAGAACTTCTATAGGCAACGTGCGGTCAAAGCAAGCTTCATGTCGGTTTTTTGTTGGACATCGCTTGACCATATTGTCTGCTCATCCGGTTTCCAACAAGTCTGAGTCGCCTTGGATCCATGTGGCCAGGATTCCCGGATATGTGTGTTTCAGAATTTGGGGCCCCTTTTGGGAGTTTCTGTATTCAGGATTATGACATACTGGAAACCATATCGGGGCCTCTATTTGCGGAAGGTACCACTTTTTTTCAAGTTCCTGGAGGAACACTCAAACGGAAGGATTTCTTCAAGTTGAAACCGTGGACACAGAGTTGAACGTAAGCATTTCCCCCAGTGCTTACTCAGAGAATTTTTGTACGCTGGCACGTGGAGTACCCCTTTGTAAACCCAGGCTTTCAGTCTTATGAAGCACAAGGTACACAAGTTACCCAAGCCCTGAAGCTTCAACCCTGAACCCTGAACCCTGAACACTTGAGCTTTAGACTTGGGCTGTCAGGGCTATCAGGCCCCTCCCCCTTACCAGGCGCGCAGGGGGTTGGCACATAGCGCAGCAAGCTGCGAACATGTGGAGTCTTGGGTTTCAGCTTCAGGGTATCATAGATTGAGGTTGCCATTGAGGGTTCGTAGACGGGGTTGCGTTTAAGGAACTTAAGTTAAGCTGCTATGATGAGGAGACCCTCGTATGTACTATCTACCCATATTATGATAACTTAAATTCCTTAACAGCAACCCAGTAGATTGAGGTTCCAGCTCCACAGGTTTGATTCAAGGTTTCACAGATTCTAGGGTTGATGTGCCAAGTGCGAGAGCGTCAGGTCTCAAATGCCTGCTGCTGGTTAGCAGGGATGAAGGAAGGGATATGGGGAATTGTCAAAATTATGGTCCCTTCTTTGTTTGGGTCCCCTAAATTAGGCCCCGTATTAGGCCCCGTATTATAATAGGGACCCAAAAAGGGACCATAATTTTGACAGTTCCCCATATGGAGACCATACTAGGGGATCCGTGATTATCAGCGCTCCCTGGGCAGCTCGCACCAACTTGGCACAGCGCTTGAAGAATACCTCTGGAACACTACCCTCTACCGGGTTGCAGTGAAGGAATTTGTAATAATTACAAGTGATAAGGTCTCTTAACCATAGTAATCCAATTTCAGTTCCTTACAGCAACCCAGTCAAAATCCCCCACTCGATGCCCTAATCCCTACGCCCCAAATCCTGACCCCCAACACTCTCAACCCTACCACCTAAACCCCCGAACTATCCACAGTCCTCCCTGAGGGCTTCGGAATGGGTCACTGAGACGACCATCGTGTGCTGCAACCCAAGCCCAGTGGGCATTGTTCGTAGGGGCCCGAACGGAATGGAAAATAAAATGGAAACTACTATAGTATATAGGGGTTATTTTGTGATAATAGAAAACAAAATGGATACTACTGTAGAGTTTAGGATTCATGGGCAATTTGTAAGAGTTATAAGATTCCAAACGGGGTTTAGGAAGAAGGGGTCATATGTTTCCCCAAAGGGTGCTATTTTGATGCATGTGTTCTCTGTTCGGTCCCTACGGAGGGGCCTCTCCGCAGCTCAAGACCAAGCTTCCTCTGCCCTGGCCGGCCATGTGAGAGCTCCTCAGACTCAGAATATAGAGGTTATACACAATAATGGAGAATCAAATGGAAAAGAAGATGGAAAATGAAATGGAAACTGAGGTTACTATGGGTTATATTAGGGTTATATCATCGCAGCAATGCTTATGGCATCTGTGGAGTTACTGTGTAGCGTGAGTGGTGCTGTCTGCGCCAGAATGGCTTGCATCACAATTTTATAAGCCCTTTACACTCCTGGAAACTAACATGGAAACCCAAAGCGGGCCCTATAAAGACTACAGTCCCTCTAAAATGGGGTTATATGGGTTTCCATGTTAGTTTGGGGGAGTGTACCTTTCAGGGGTTAACACTGAAGGGTCCTTTGAAGTAGCCTGTTGGATGGTCACCAAGTTTTGTGAGGACATCCGTCTGCACTTCCTTCTCTACATCTCTTTCCCTATCTGGAGTGCATTAATCTCTAAGATCTCCAAACTTTAAGCCATAAAACTCGAAGTAAGTTACCATTACACGGATTGCTAGTAAATGATTGGTTACCTTCTAGTGGTAGCCCCCTTTAAGTTCCTGAATAGCAACCATAACTAAGCCCTACAGTAAACCCTACATAGCCGTTTCCATTTTATTTTCCAGTATCCCAATACAACACCAATATAACCCTAATATTACCCCAATGGGTACAAAAACATATTCTTTGATGAAGGACCGTGGATTACTGTGGATACACAGAACCCTGCCTGGCCTTAGCATGCTCTCAGTTCTGCCCCCACCCAGTAACAGCTAGATACTAAGTATGTTATAGTTGTATAACGCCCTTGATGTGACCTGGATTATAGACAGTCTCTAGGTCAGGGCAGTACCCAAAGCATCTTATAGCACCATAAGTCCCAAATTTCGAAGGTCCTGGAACACAATAAGTTGAGTCAAGAATGGGGTTTAGGGTTTAGGGTTTAGGGTTTGGGGGAATGAGTCATGGGGAGAGTTCCGGGATTCTTGCTGGTATTGTCACGTGGCTATTAATCCCTTATTGCTTTCAAACACCACCCTGCCCTAAACCCTGTTTTCAAGAAGGGACCTCGTATGTTCGAGGACTTATCTCATATCAGGGGTGGGCGCCCTAAACTGCCCTAAACCTGCAACCCTATATCCTACAACGCTTGGAAGGGCAGGTGATTGCGAGGATTCTTTCCCGCACTTTATCATTGGCGCCAGGCAGGTCCGTAGACATGGCACCTCATGTCATGCCATGCAAGTCCAGATGGCCTCTAAATCACAAAATGGCATGTGGCCTGGGTGGTCGACACCAAAGAGCAAGAACTTAGGGTAGAGGGTTAACATAAGAAATTCTAGAAAAGAACATGGAAACTACTACAATGAGGAACTATATAGGGGTATATAGGCTTCTATAGGGGTTATATAGGGATCATGGAAAATAAAATAAAGACAACTATCTGGAGAACTTGCTGAGGGCCGATGGGTGAGAGGCATTTTTCCGACCATCGCCTGCCCGCCAGAAGGAGACTGCAGGCCCCAAGTTTTAGGGTTTAGGTTTTAGGGTTAAAATTTTGGGGCTTAGTAATAATGGAAGAGAAACTGAAAATTACTATATCTTATTGCGGGTTTAGAATTTAAGGCTTGCGTTTAATGGAAAAGAAAATCGAAACAACATTTAAGGTTTTCAACCCTGGGCCCCTAGTATGGGCCCTGAACTTACCCTACTATGTGTACCCTCAAGAGTTTTTAGACTTTGTCACCCTAAAAAAGAGAGAGATGAACAAGTCTATGTTCAAAAAGAGAAGCCTACTAGCAGGACCGCCCAAAAGGGATCCCTAAGATTGCAAAGAAAACACACATTGCAGCATTCTGAGGAAGTCTAGGAATGTCGTCAGTGCTTGTAAAAGGATTAATAGATTTAGCCTCGTACCTATCTGTTCATGTTGTAAATGCCATCAACACTAACCCGCGAGATTTTTTGCAACATCGCTTTCGGCAACTGACGCTTTTGAAGGAGGGGTGACCTAGACTTCCAGCCCACAATGCACAGGGCGTGTTTAATTTCAGGTTCGCTGTAGCAGTAGGGATGGACTCCACGCTGGGATCTTGGACCCTTGATGCTTGAATCCTGAACCCTGAACCAAAGGCCTTGTACTTCCGAGTCTTACAGTCCAAGACGCTCCCTTCACCCTAAGCCCCACAACTTGACAGCAGAAGTCTCAAGCCTGCAAAGAAACTACTGTTAGGCAGGCACTGGAGGATTGATCGAACTTGGGCCATAGCTTTTTCCCCACGCGTTGAGTTGTTAGAGCTCAAGTCCGGAACCTCAGAGC